AGGTCATGCTTTAAGCCCATGCACAAGAATGTGGTCCCTTGCAAAGCAAGTGTGGAAATGAAGTTGTCATTGACCATGTTCTGTTCTAAGTGTGCAGATAGAAAGGGCGGGCTCTCTTTTGCTGCAGGTCAGGGGGTTTCTATCGTTCTGTCTGCTTGGTAAATTAAAACAAAAAACAATTTCATGTTGGATTAGATTTTGCTTCCTCTCAGTATGTTAGCATACATTAACATATCATCAAATACATGATTCCCAGACTTGTGCAGTTTACCTAAAATATTGCAATTATTAGAGATTAATTTGTGCTCTTTCTTCATGTCCTCCAGGAGCTCGAAGAACTGGATGTTCATGAGATCAAGTTGGTCACAGATCCTCAACACTTGGAGAATGAAGAGGAGAAAATTAGCTCCTCAAGCCTCCGGAACAGATTATTAGGGACCTTACTAAAACCTCCAGCTGTAAGAATCCTTATTACACTTTGCTTTTCAGTATTCTGCTTTATTTTGTATAAACAAGGTTGAGCTTATTAAATTAGACCACAATTTGCAAGGTTTAGCAGCCTATGAGGATTCATCATTGATAGGCTTTTTAACGGTTACTCGGAACATGACTCTGAGGAAGAAACCTTTACAACAGTCCCTGTCACTGAGTAAGCTCCACGCTGGGGCAGTGACTGATATGTTTCCATGTACTCTGTATGAAAATTCTCAGCGCCCGCCAAGGATCTGGGGGCGGGCACATGCGCAGTTCAGATTTTCGGCCGGGAGACCAGGAGAGACACAAGGTAAGTAAATGCAGCAGCGTGCGATTGGAGACCAGCACTGAAAACTACAGGAAAGAAGAGGATGATCGGATTAAGAGGTATAATTTAAGGTAAGTCCTTATATTAGCATTGTGGTGGGGGGTTTTAGGATTTAGCCTTTAATGTCACTTTAAAGCTGTTTTACTTACCAGATTCCTGCTCCCGTCATCTCCATCCAGGCTGCTAGACCAGTCCCCTGCAGTCTCTTGATATATCATCATGTCTTATGCGTGTCCATTGACCTGCATTACAGGTGAGGACGCTGAGGGACATTTCCAACGTAGCGGAGGGGGGGAGAAGGGAGTGCTGACCACTGTGGGAGCCAGGATCAGGTAAGTAAAACGGCTTTATTTAAGTCCTATAGGAAAAATGAGTGGGTAGCCCCACTGCAAGGGTAAGTGTTTCCTTTTCCCGGAGATGGGCCTTAACCCTTGCTGCAGCATTTAGCAGTGTAAAAGCAAAACTGAAGGAGTCCCATAGTTATACATACATTACTATGTCGCCTGACAGCATAACTGTAATAGTGAGGGTTTAAATGGGCTTAATAGTAATTTTTGGTGGGACGAACATTTTTGCAAGCTTATTCTAAGACATTTTTGTTATTGTAAAATATATTTTAGATTAGCCACTAGAAGGTTTCCACAGCTCAGTGCATATACTCCATGTCCCTCAGCTGTTGAGATAGGATAACTGCCATAGAGAAAGTGCATTGTTTTCAAATGTCAGCTGACTCAAAGGCTTGCATGCTGAGAACAAGTAATAAAAAACACAACTATTGTGTAGCATTGCAAAGCCGGAAGCAATGGCTGTAAATGTAATGAGCAAATGCGGCTGCCCCATGTACATATATAATGACAAGTTATGCATGAAAACAAGACTTTGAAAACATTATCACATATTGACAAGCTTATTTCCATCAAGTTCATCTCTTCTAACTGTTTATCTAAAAACATCTCTACATCTGAATTTATCTCAAAAACAAAAGTTGACTCGCTAGATTAGATTTTACAAGTGAAAACCGGTTCATGTTTCTGCAGGCAAACCCCAATATCCCATCCCGGCCTTATGTCATTGGTTTAACAGGAGGCAGTGGCAGTGGGAAGTCTTCCATTGCAAAAAGGCTGGAGGCCCTTGGAGCTGCACTCATAGACTGTGATAAATTAGGACACCAGAGTTACAGACCTGGAGGACCAGCATACCAGCCAGTCATTGATGAGTTTGGCGCAGGTATATTCTGCATGAATACAAGGCATGATGATTGTGGCTTTTGTTTGTTTTTATCTCTTTGCTAAAAGGTTAATTCGATTGATACTCCATTTTTGGCTGGAATCGTAGAGTTTTAATGAACATGTTAATATATAACTCATTGGGTTGGTCCTAGTGCTGAAGTTGCTGGGTGCTGGTCCCACATTTTTCTTTGTGCAGCTTATAGTATTGACTTGCTCTGAATCAAGTCAAACAAACATAATACCTCTTCATGTCTCACACCCTGAATTGCTGATTGGTGGGATGGGTGATTGACCATTGAGTTTTCTGTTTTAAATCAGATTTGTGGCAGCAAACCAGCTATTACATTAGTAATGCTCCAATCTACTAACACAGAAATCAGCCCAAATGTCTCAACAATAAAAATGTGCTCCAATACATATCAAGCACGATTGTGTCTCTTCTCTATGGTACAAAGCTGTGAAGTATAACTGGTTCATGTGAACTAACTTGCATGCCAATCTTCTAGCAACTCACACATGTAGCTGTCTAGTATTGATCGCTCTTATTTATTCCTCAGATATCCTGTGTCCAGATGGGACCATTGACAGGAAAGCTATTGGCAGCAAAGTCTTTGGAAATAAGGTAAAATGGAAAGAATTCACTTTCGTGGCTTTTGAAATGTTATTTTGTTCCTAAGCAGTACCTAGAAAATGTTCCCTTTTTTCTTGAATTCCTTCTATAGAATAGCAGTGCCTTTTCTTGTCCTCTGGCCTCATATCTGTATATCTGCAGTGTGTGATCTAAGGCTTTGCTGCCTCTGCCAGACTTTGGTGATATCACTACTGTGCTGCCCACTGCTCTGATATGAGGAAGCAATACTCTGCCTCTAACAAGATGGCCGCCTCCACACAAAGATACAATGCAGAACATGTGATGGTGTAAAAATCAGCTACAGGAAGATGCCACAAGCAATGCTGGTGACTAGTCCTTTCCCCTTTTTGTCTGCCTCTTTTAGGGCTTGGCTTCCAGAGTCCCTATCCTCTTTAGAAAACTGACCTTCATGTGGCCAATACACTTCCAATCCTTAGTGTATATCCTATGGCCAGTATATCATCCGAGAGCTGATCTCTGCTTCCACAGCTGACTGGAAGTTTCTAACCAAGCTGGTCAACACTTCCTTTTCAAGATTATCTTTTACAATAAATCTTGCCCCTTTAAAGCGACCCTGTCATTAAAACATTTTCCATTATCATAAATAGACATTTTGTTACAATCAAACAGCATGTGTAGCACAAAAGACCATCCAATAGTCTTCAATATCAACATTATACCCCCTTCAATAATCCCATTAGCTTTATACTATAGTATGTATTATGCCATAATAGTGATCTACTTTATATCTGGGGGGGACAACTCTAATCCGCTTCCTCTTGCTATACAAAGTACTGGTAACTCTCGCTTCGTCTACACATGTTAATTTAGCAGAAAATGGGAAAACAATTTAATTAAATAAATATAAAAAATAAAAGAATAATAACACACAAAAAAACAAAGAAATAAAAGGAGAGAAGAAAAAAGAAACAAAAAGAAGGGAAAATTGTAGACTCCTTTGGTCAAGATATCTAATACAATGCTTAACCTGTAGGAGTAAGGGATATGCCAGAAGGGTTTAAAATCCCTTGATGGGTCAACCATGGCTCCCTCACTGCTTTGAAATTCGCATATCTGTCTTGCAAGATACTGTGTAATTTCTCATGGATCATGATCCAGTTTCGCTTGGGTAGTACTATAGAGAAAGGTACCTTTTCAGCTTTCCAGGATCGGGCAATTGATGTCTTAGCGGCTAGAAAGAAGAAGGAAAGGAGTTTGCACTGTACCCTTTATAGATCCGGAACCGGTTTATTCAATAGAAAATGCTGTGGATCTCTAGGGACATGGACCCAGAAGATGTCAAAGATCAGTGCAAAAAACGTATTCCAAAATAGGCGCAATATTGGGCACTCCCACCAATAATGGATCATAGTGCCCTTCTGATTACATCGTCTAAAACATAAAGAACTGGACCCTGGGGACATGGTCGCCAACCTCGTTGATACCAGATACCATCGTGAAAAAACCTTATAATTAGCTTCTAATAGAGAGACATTCAGCAATCCAGTAGTGGATCTTATAATGCACTGTTGCCATTCTTCCATAGAAAGTGTTACCCCCTAAGTCTAATTCCCATGCAGCCATATAGGCCACTTTACTAAATGGGCCCAATTGTATAGCATAAATTAGAGAGATCCCCCCCCCTCTTTGGCTAATCCCTCCTAGACACCACTTTTCATATTTTGTTAGTAGTGGGAGGCCAACCTCTGGGATATGTAGTGACTGTAAAAAGTGTTCTATTTGTCTATATCTATACATTTCGGATTGTGGCAACTGAAGAGTATTCAAACAATAAGTAAGGGAGATTGGTTTATGGAATTTAATAAAGTCTCCTATTCTATAGAGTCCTTTATCAACCCACCACTGAAAAGCTTTAGGCTGCATTCCCGGTAGGAGCTTGTCATTACCAAATAATGGTGCAAGAGGGGTGTGAGCGGAGGTCATACCTTCCTTTTTTACTTTTTTTGTTTTGTTTATGTATGTTGTAATTGTGTATAAATGTTTGTGGGGTTGTAGGGGCAGTCAAGCTAAACTAGATGGAACTTAAGAAATGGTGATTTAAAGAAGTGTTAGTTTTATTATTAAAAGGAGGAATTAGAATGTGAAATACGAAACCTAAAACTGGTAGAAGAAAAGAAGATATGCTATATAATATTTTTAATTCTATTTATTTAAAGGCATATTAAGATGAAATGTCAATGTTGGATAAGCTGTCCAAATGGAAGTTTTGTTTTTTTTATATTGTAGATGTTGAGTTATATTATTATGTAAAGAATATAAAAAAAAAAAGATGAATACTTTTCTTTCCCACTGCCCACATGGCCAAAATGCAAGTCCATTCTCAATTAATCTTCATATGAGGTTTGCTTGGTCCTTTGCAGTGCTGCTGGTTCCTCCCACCTACCTCGATGTCATTACTGTGTTCATTGTTACATAAAGTCTTCAACTGACCTTCTCTGCTATTAACATTGAATATTCTAAAGCTATGAAAGTCACCCATGGCCAGCAAATTAATTGTGAAAGATAACGCAACAGTGGGTTATGTTCTGCTGCTAAACTCCAAGCAGGGAAAGCAAAAACATACAGATGTGCTCGAGATGCCCTTTGCTGAAATGAATGTAAACACTGAGAGGGGCCTCAGCTACAGTGAGTGATTGTGTGACAATCTACGTCCTGCAAGACTTTGTCCATTAGTCTTCTAGGTTTCAAGAAAATAATTGGATGAATGAACGGGTAATGTAGTAATACCCTTTATGAATGTCTGCAAAGGTGGTCACACACGGACCCATGTAATCATCATCAATCATTTTGATAAAGTAATTGAATTGTATAAGAATTGTAAACAGAACCTCAGTATAGTGAGCTTCTATACATTCGTCTCTGGCAAGTTGATCGGCCATGGCAGAATTTTGTCGCTCTCGTCTGATTGATCAAACGAATATCTGTGTGTGTGTGTGTGTGTGTCAGATCATAATACAGATCCACTAAATGATAGATTCTGTTAGATCAGTTCTTGTAGAACCATATATGTCGGATTGTTCAATATTTTAATTGATGAATTGCTTGTTTTTGATTGCTCATACCTAGATTGATCACAAATCATTCTGTGTATGGCCACCATTACGGTAGACACTATTTGTGGTTGGTAAATACATCTTTCATTATAAGTTCTACAATATTTTTAATAGAAGCTATCGTATTTCTTTCAGGTCCAATTAAAGCGTCTGACAAATATAGTTTGGCCAGCAATTGCAGTATTGGCTAAAGAGGCTGTGGAAGAAGCGGCCAGCAAAGGTAAGCTTTTCTATTGTGTTCCATTGTCAGGCAATACATATACATGGGGTCATGATTGTCCGATCTGGATTATGGCAGGTATTCTCCTGCTTTTGCTGACTGACCTTGGGTAGAATCTGTCAATTTAAAGGCCAACTCCAGACTCTGCCCCTGGTTGTATGTTTTGCTTTATTTTTTATATTTGCCTTTTCCAGATGTATTCAGACTGGTCACATGCTGCACAGGGTCCTCATCCTTTTTGAATCTTCTACTGGCAGAGCTCAATAATGTAGAGAGCTGAACTGATGTGATGTCAGCGCTGCTCTCTTAACATTACACAGTGAGTGTAGCATGCCATAGTGATGCCCCTCAGAGGAAGGATCCATATTGCCCTGTATTTGCTTCCCATAAGGCATTGCAAGCCACAGGCATGACTCTGAGGCAGAAGCATGAAGGGATTTGTAGTTTCAGCAGAGCTGGAGAGCCAAGGTTGCCTCCCTCTGCCCCAGGGGAACAATAATAAAAAAAAAAATGTCTGGAGTTGGTCTTTTAAATGTGTATTCACTGTCAAACTCCATTGTTACTCCAAGATAAGGCCAGGAAAAAGGGTGACTTCTCAGTGAATTAACATGCCCAGGTTAACATAACCTTAAAACATTTTTCTTCTGGAAAGCAAAAACCAAATTGTCAGAAATTAAGGATTCGGCTAATCATTGTATTGGATACAGATTTTTTTTTGAGTAAATTTTTGTTTTTGTTTTAGCCCCAGACCAAAATGAGCAGTTAACCTTTGTAGTGCAGAGGTAGCCCCACTACAAGGGTTAGTTTTTACATTTCCTTCAGTTTTTCTTTAAGGCCTCATTCACAGGGGCGTGCATGTCCATACAGAGACATGCTTCCCGAGAGGGACAGGTACAGCGTGTAATTGTGTGCAGCCGCCTGTACATCCCTATGAGAGGATGCGGCTGCAACCAGCTACACGCCAAACCCAGCTGCACGTCCGTGCCGGTCCAGGTGCCCACAATTGGACACATACGGATGTACATGCTGTTGCACGCAATTACACGCTGCACCTGTCCCTCCCTGGAGCAGGTGTCTGCATGGGTGTGCACGCCAATGTAATTGAGTCCAAAGGTTTGCCAACTGTCAAGGTTGCCAGTGTGCTTATTTCAGTTTCTCAACCAAACTTTCAAGCACTAAAATGTCTGGTGTCATAGCTGGTCACACATGCAGCACCATGGTAACTGCAATCCTAATCGTGGTTAAGATGGCACCTTCCTTGGCTGTAAGGATAGTTCTGCTTTAAGGAGCAACCACCACCAGGAAAGAGACAGAGGAAAACAACCCCGCTCATCATTTGACCGGGAGAAGAAATCTGGAAAAGAATTTAAAAACAGCTGATTGGCCTCCAATGTAGAAGGATGGTCAATTATGGGGTGGAGGTCAGAGCCTGACATTGGACTTTAAAAATTATTTCTCTCCCGTTCATTGAAGGACACAGGGAACAGATCGGAGATCCTGTACTGTAGGGTAATATCGCCACCTGCAGGAGAAGGACGCTAGGCACAAAACTAAAGACCAATATCAAGGAGTGGAAGCGCCCGACAAGTCGTTTTCCGTCCCCAAACGCTTCTCGGTTCATTATCCTTTTGAGGAGTCCTTCCTGTCCAAGTGGTCTACTCCCCCCGCAGTGGATCCGCCGGTTTCCCGCCTGAACAAGGCTACGGTCATCCCGGTGGAGGATTCGCCTTCCTTTCGGGATCCCTCGGATAGGAAGGCGGTGGCGGTGGCGCGTACTATGTACTCGGTTTCCGGGGCTCTGTTGCGCCCCGTGTTGGCTTCGGCCCTGGTCTCCCAGACCTTGACTGAGTGGATGAAGATGCTGCGTCAGGGTCTTGCAGAAGAAAACGTGTCTCCTGCTTATGTCGACCTTACGGAACAGGTGGTGCAGGGTCTGCAATACCTGTGTAATTCGGCTTTGGATGCGGCACCATTGGTTTCCAAGCTGTCTGTGTCGTCGGTTACTCTTCGGCGCCTCCTCTGGCTTAAATGCTGGTCGGCTGACCAGGCTTCCAAAAAGGCTCTGACGGAGCTCCCCTTTACGGGGGAGCGTCTGTTCGGGGCTACCTTGGATGAGATCATCAAGGATCTGACGGGCGGTAAGAGCACCTTTTTGCCTCAGTCGAAAAAGCCTAGGGACCAGCGGCGGAAGCCTGGTCCGTCTTTTTAATAGATTTGTAATTGTAAGAGTCTTCAAAATGTAGTTTGTTCCAAAGGGTCTTACAGCTGACACATAATTCAGCATATTGAAATGGAAAATGTGACAAAATTATGTCAACGATATGAGACATTGCATGTGCATGACTGGCTAGTCATATAATGTGGCTTTTCTTCCTTCTCTTCACTTTTTGTGGCGCATTCCTTTAATGCTGCCTTCTGTAACCCAGGAATATCAGTCTGTGTGATGGACGCAGCTGTTCTGCTAGAAGCTGGATGGGATTATATGGTTCATGAAATCTGGACAGCGATCATACCGGAAAAAGAGGTGAGGAGGGTCTTTCTCTGCATTCTTGGTTTCCTTTTTATATTTTCCTGTTTTTTGTCTTTTTTTTTTTAG